AAATTCTGAATGAGAACAAGGGATTTAGGTTTTATTTCCAAACCCCATAACTCCAAATGCAAACAGTGGACTTAGGTTTTATTTTCAAACCCAAAATTCCAAATAATGACAGTGGGTTTAGGTTTTATTTCTAATTCCCAAAACTCTAAATAAAATCAGTGGATTTAGGTTTAGTTTCCAAACCCCAAACTCCAAATGCAAACAGTGGGTTTAGGTTTTATTTCCAAACCCCATAACTCCAAATGCAAACAGTGGACTTAGGTTTTATTTTCAAACCCAAAACTCCAAATAATGACAGTGGATTTAGGTTTTATTTTCAAACCCCAAACTCTAAATAATGACAATGGGTTTAGGTTTTATTTCCAAACCCCAAAACCCAAATGAAAACAGTGGGTTTAGGTTTAGTTTCCAAACCCCAAAACTCTAAATACAAACAGTGGGTTTAGAGTTTGGAAATAAACTCTAAATAAAAACAGGGGTTTGTGGATCAAACCCCAAACTCTAAATGCAAACAGTGGATTTAGGTTTTATTTTCAAACCCCAAACTCTGAATGCAAACAGTGGGTTTAGGTTTTATTTCCAAACCCCAAAGTCCAAATGCAAACAGTGGGTTTAGGTTTTATTTCCAACCCCAAAACTCTAAATGAAAACAGGGGTTTGCAGATCAAACCCCAAAGCTCTAAATAAAAACAGGAGTTTGTAGGTTTTATTTCCAAACCCCAAACTCAAAAACAACTTTTAGGGCTCATTTTTATTGGAAAAACAACTTTTAACTCTTATTTTTATCAGAATAACAACTTTTAGGGCTCATTAGAACAACGTTTAGGTCTTATTTTTATTAGAAAAAGAACTTTTAGGTCTTATTTTTATTAGAACAAGAACTTTTAGGTCTTATTTTTATTAGAACAAGAACTTTTAGGTCTTATTTTTATTAGAATATCAAGTTTTAGGTCTTATTTTTGTCAGAATAACAACTTTTAGGTCTTACTTTTATTAGAACAAGAATTTTTAGGTCTTATTTTTATCAGAACAAGAACTTTTAGGTCTCTCTTTTATTAGAACAAGAACTTTCAGGGCGTATTTTTATCAGAATAATAAGTTTTAGGTCTTATTTATATAAAAAAACCAACTTTTAGGTCTTATTTTTATTAGAAAAAGAAC